ATGAAGCTCTTTGGCTAAAACATGTACCATTCTTATGGGGAATATATTTTAATTTAAATGTTTAATTGTGTGCTCTACAAAACCAAATATTTCTGAATATCTGATTTGGGGATCTCCATTCACTTGCCTTTGACAGCTTCTTTTACCTGTGAGCGTTTAAAAAATCAATCTACCGGTAAAGCTTTTTAATATAGTCTATTAAAACTTCACATTTCCTCAGCAATTTGCTCCTTTTTCTTACTCTGACCTGCCCAGAACTTACAAGGGCTCTCACTATCACTATCTCTTGGGGTGCTTGTTAAAATAGATTGCTGGTCCTACTTTCAGAGTGTCTAATTTAGCAGGCTCCAGATAGGGCCAGAGAATTCAATTTCCAGCAACTTCCTAGGTGAGGCTAATGATGGTGTCCCCACTTTGAGAAACACTGTTTGGGATAAAATATCATAAAAGAGACGGTAGTCCCATCTCAGGCCTTGGTAGTGAAGATGGAGAGAAGTGAATGTAATTGACCTAGATTTATGAAGACCAGTAGTTTTTAGCCATGATGTAGATGGGAACGATGATGAGGGAAGGGAGGGATGGAAGAAATTTGTGGGAGTTTGGCACCTCGAATGAATGGATGGATGTAACTGAGGATTAAAATATAAAGAAGCTAGGTAGGAGTTCTAGATCATGGTGGGAAATCCTAAATTCCATTTTGCTAATACTGAAGTCTTAATAAACTGGGTGTATTGGTGCATGCACACCTGTAATCTCAGCAACCCAGGAGCTGAGGTAGGAGGATCACAAGTTAGAGGCCAGCCTCAGTAACTCGGCAAGACCCTGTCCCAAAATGAAAAACAACAAGGGCTGGGAGGTTTCTGGGTGGGATTCAATCCCCAGTACTTAAGGAAAAAAAATTTTTTTTTTCAATGAAAAACTTCTAAAATTCCAGTACAACACCTAGTAGACAGTAGGTTTTCAGTAAATGACAGCTATTGTTATTGTTGCTCTCATTACCTTCCTTCACTCTGTACCTTGCCACTACTGTACCTTGTCAAAGGTAACCTCCCAACTCCATTACTCAGCAACCACATTCCAGGGCTTGGTATTACTTCTTTGGGTGATGGAAGAGATCCAGGAATGAACAAGGAAACTTCCTATTTATAGATTTAGCTCATGGGTTGACTAGGTGGGAAAGGAAGAGAGGGTGGGAAGAGGGGGTGAGGTTCTAAAAAATAGAGGTCCTCTCATTATTCCAGATAACCTCAGAACTATGTGAAACAGATGGAATTTCTCCATTTTATAGATGAGATAAATAACTTGCCCACTGCCTTATAGAAACACCAGTGAAAATTCAATTCTAACTTTTTTCAGGCCCTATTATATGTGTGCTTTCTATAGTATGAAATGGTTCCTTTATTCCTAAATAATAGACTAGTTACTTTTTTGTATAATAACCTAACTGTGTTGCAACAGTATCTTAAATGTGTGCCAATTTCCAGACTAGCGATTTTTAAAATTTATTTATTTAATTTTATTTTTTTTAGTACTGAAAGTTGAGCATAAGGCCTTGCACAGGCTAGGTAAGCACTCTACCATTGAGCCACATCTCCAGCTAGATTAGTGGCTTTTATATGTTGTGATCCTAACCCATAGTAAGAACAACTTTTTACAAAGCCAGCCAGAATAAACATGCATATGATAGATAATTATTTCTAATAAACAATACTTATTGAGAATCACTACATTATCAAAATTCTCAATAAATTCATTCTGATATTCTTTTGTTCATCTGCTAAAATAAACATTCATCAGGACCCACAGAATGATTTCACAAGTCCAACAAACTGGTCAAGAACCCTGATGGTAAGGGAAAGTGGGAGAGATGGATGTCTGCATAGCCATCTTCATGGGAATTAATGTAGCATGATTGATGAAGGAATTGGTAAAATGATCAGGCTGTTCTCTGTTCTCTGCCCACATATGGCTGTGTTCACTTGGATTTGAGTTAGATTTTTTTTTTTTTTTTTTTTTTTTTTTGGTACTGAGGATTGAACTCAAGGGGCACTCAGCCACTGAGTCACCAGCCACTGAGTCACATCCCCAGCCTTATTTTGTGTTTTATTTAGAGACAGGATCTCACTGAGTTGCTTAATGCCTCACTTTTGCTAAGGCTAGCTTTGAACTGTCTATCCTCCTGCCTTAGCATCCCAAGACCACAGGTATTACAGGTGCGTGACACTGTGCTTGGCTTGACCTAAATCTTGGAGGCCCTTCCCCACCTTCATAGAATAGAGTGCAATTATAGAAAGCCCTTGATAAATAGTAGCCCCATGGGACTTTGAAATGATGAGGAGGAGGAAGAAGAGGGAGAGGAGGACTCCTGTCTAAACCCTGAAAGAATTTAGAAAAAAGGAGAAAAGACCCCATCATGGGCACAGAAATCAGGTTGCTCTTTGATTAATGTTTGGAAATTAAGTAAAAAGGTGAAACTTTATTTTTTTTACATTATCAACAAAATTATTTATGTTCCAGGAGTATAAAAGTGACTGTAAGCAATACAGCAAAAATAATAGATCACATTATATGAATAGGCATCAACATTCTTCCTAAAATATGCTTTATCTCATTTCTGGCCACTTATTGGAGAACTTTAGGAAAAGGAGCTTAAACATCTGGGGTATAAAAGGAGCTTGAAAACCTAGGATATTGATTTCTATAAGTACTAAAATGCTGGCTAAGGTTCAATAATATTGATATGTATGGGGTTGTCTCTCAATTGTGCCTATCTTTAGATGACCCTGAAACATAATATCACCTCCGAGGGGGTGAGTGGCAATTACCATGGGCTTGCCTCAACAAGGATGGGGAACCTGTAGCACCATGGAAAGGTCAAATGCTTTGCCCCAGGTTATCTGAGCCAAGAAGAAAAACACTTAAGATTGTTGTGAGAGGACTGTAGCACATAAGGCCCCCAGCTTGCACAATTATCTCCACCCCCTACTCCCAGTCACTGGCCAGGAAGGTTTTGTTTTGTTTTTAATTTTGGGGGGTTTTAATTAGTTATACAAGACAGTGGAATGCATTTATGAACTTTGATATATCATCCATAGATGGGATATAATTTCTCATTTTTCTGAATGTACATGTTATAGAATCACATCAATCATGCCAAGAAGTTTGATGCAGAGAACAAGCTGCCCTTCCACCAAGCATCACAGTGCTCTGCATTTTCTTGAATTTGAAAAGGTACCACATAGCAAATAAGTTGGAATTTTTAAATATACCAGTAAAATAAAGCACCTTCTTTTATCATTTGCTTATTTTCATGTCTTCATAGAAATGACATTTTTATACAGCCCACCTGCCTTAACTGAACTTATTTGCATACACAGTATGGTAGAGCATGAGGGGGCCTTGGAAGCCCATTGGGCCCTACTCAGCATCTTCCCAGAAAAGCAGGTCAGCTACATTGACTTGTGGTCCAGGCCTCCTTTCTCTTCAACACAGTGCTTTCTTTCTTTTTTAAAATTTTGATTCATTCTTTTTAATTATACATGACAATGTAATCTATTTTAATATATTTACATAAGCATGGAACATATCTTATTCTAATTAGGATTCCAGTCTTGTAGATGTACACAATGTTACTGTGGTGTACTCACATATGTACATAAGAAAGTTATGTCATCTCGAATAGTGCTTTCTTACTATCAAAGGAAAGTCTTCTCATTCTTGTTCTTTCCCCTTTTTAAAAAAAGGATCATCAAGATACATTTGGATAAAAAAAATTAATAAGCAAGGGATCATGCTTTTAATTAATTAATTTATTGATGTTGGCAATTGAACTCAGGGCTCATGATGTGCTCTACCACTGAGCTACATCCTCAACCCCACAAAATTAATTAATTAGTTGGTTAATTAATTAATTAAAGCTGGGGATTGAACCCAGAGAGGGCCTTGTGCATATGAGGCAAGCACTCAACCAACTGAGCTATATTCCCAGCCCCATAAATTTATTTTTGAAAGTTTTTACTGTTCTGAACTTTCCTTCAAGAGCTGTACGGTCATCCCATGAGTTGGTGCTTCTGGCAATTCATGCTTTGGAAGAGGATTTAACCCCTTACTTTCACTAGGCCCAGAAGGGGAAAAACAACAACAAAAACTAGGAGAGAAACCAGCAAGGGCTCTCACCCTGGGGCGCCTCACTCGGCTCCCCTCCCCCACTCCCCAACTCTTTAACAAGGGACAGATTTCTTGAAGTTTCTTAACTGTTCCACAAAGTGATCAGTCACCAAATCAAGTGTGCCAAGCATTGTCATCTCCTGGGGAAAATTCTCTGAGTGGTTTTCAAAGGAAGAATTGCAAAAGGAAGAAGAATCTCTATGGGGCTATTTCCCTCAGTAAATAAATCCGTCATGGACCTTCCTCTTGGAAAAACACCTACCCAGGGCCCGTGTCTGCCACGGGGCCCAGCGCTTACAACCATTAACAGCTGGTTTTGAAAACAGCCCTTGCCTGTGTTCTTAATGTAAAGGAACCCTAAACCCCAAACGCATTTCCCCTAATTAGCGGAAAGCCTAGCAGTGCATAGCCTTGTGGCACTCAGGAGCCCAAACGTCCCTACTCCTATAAAGGATCCAAACAATGGCTCGTGCCCAAACATTCACACTTGTTTTTCAGCTACGTCTAGGCTGATAGGGGCAGGGTGGTAATTCTTTAGGTCGCCCGACTTCCCAAGGGGCGAGATGTGGATCGTAACGACTCTGCCTATTTGGGAACTCTTTCGGGAGGAGTAGCTTAAAGATTAACTTTCTGAAGTTTCTGGGGGCCAAAAGCCTGCGGGTGCATGGCGTGATTGGGAACTCGTGCGGGCCGGTGGCGCGGCTCTGCTGCTCTTTCAACAGGCGATTTGTTCTCCTGCCCGTGGCTCATTTCCATGCAAAGAGCCTGACATCAGAGCACCTTTTGTTGCTAAACGCTTTCTTGAGCCCGGAGGGGAGAGAGTCATGTGGAGCTGGAAGAGCTCATTCTGAAGAGAGGGGTCCCGGGCAGTGGCTTCTAAGGTCCCGAGGCGCCGCCGTCCCGCCCGCGGGGCCCTGCCCAGACTTGCTGGCAGAAACAAGTCGCGTGCCGCAGTTAGCCGTCCCCGTCACAGGAAGCAACGCCTTGGCCGTGCGTTTCATTGCTTCTGGGCTGAGCGAGTTCCCCGCCGCGGCACTCAGTGGTGCGGACTTTGCTCCTGCTACCCTGTTGCTGAGCCGAGTCGGGTCGGGAAAGTTTCAGGAGTTGTCAGTCGCGCTGCCCGCGGCCACCTAGTGCGGAGGGGCTGACGCCTCCGAGGGCCCCGCGGACTGGCGGGGGGCCGCCTGGGCATGCAGCGCGGGGGCGCGGCTCCGTGACGCCAAGGCCCGGGACCCTACACCTCGGACGGTTGCGCACTGGTGCTGGGCGAGGGCGCAGCGGCCACCGGGACGCACGGCCAGCGCGCGGGACGCGACCATGGAGGAAGACGCGGGAGCGGCTGGCCCTGCGCCGGAGCCCGAGCCCGAGCCGGAGCCCGATCCAGAGCCTGAGCAGGAGCCGGAGCCCGAACAGGAGCCGGAGCTGGAGCGAGAGCCAGCGCTGGACGCCGGCACGTCTGAGGCGTTCTCCCGACTCTGGACCGACGTGATGGGCATCCTGGTGAGTTACCTGCGCAAGGAGGCGCTGGAAGCAGGGCTCGCTCGCGGCTGAGGGTCTGGATCCCAGTGCTCCCTTCTTGCCCACCCACCGGGCACCCCTCTCTTAGCAGCGTCTTCCTTCTCTTGCTCCGGTTCTTAGGGGGTTAAATACACACAGTATAGGATTTCAAACCCTAATTAAAAAATAACCAGCCACCGATCACATCAAAGACACTTTTTGAACGATCGGGTATAATATTCAACAGTTTAATCTGGAACACCTGCTGAGATGTTGGGAAAGAAAAAACAAGAAGGAGTCCTTTAAAGAGGAGTGAATGTAAATACTACATGTTAAATATTTGGTTGATGGACTTCTCACAGTTGGATCTGGAAGAGGCTGATGGCACTGATGTTTATCTTCTCGCCACTTGTTGTGTGACTGCCAGAAGAAAACAACCATTTCCTTGCTCAGGACCTCCAGAATGTTTACTTGCTCTGTTTGCAGTCTTTCCAATTTGTAGAATCACGGGATATTTGTTTTACATGTTTGGGGGAAAGCAATAGGGTTTATTTTGCTAAAATCTGTGCTATCAAGTATTTTGAAATGTCCAGGGTCTAAAACTGCCAATGGATTTGGCATAATTTTGAAAAACAGGTCTCATACATAGAGGATATTTTAAAGCATATGGCTATATGGTAATAATATTAAACCTCTGAAATGGCCAATTATGGGGAATTAGTTGATCACTTTTTGTGGAGCTGTAGGTTAGGTCGACTAGAATCAGATGGATGGGGATTATGACAGCAAGACATTTTAATTCACACCTAAAAAGACATCCTTAGTGTAAACGTCTTGGAATAGCCAGATGTGTAGATGGCTGGAAAAGATGCTACATTGACTTTGTGATCTTTTTTCAAATAGGAGATATAGTTTTTAGAATTCTTCTTTGGGAAGAAGTGATTAAGCTCTTAGCTGTTGAAGTAGGGTGGTCTGGGCCAAATCCCTGCTTTCCAACAGATTGTCTGAATCACCTGGGCCAAGTTATTCAACCCTTCTCAGTCTCAGTTTCACCACCTGAAAAATGAGGAAAAGAAGACTCGTTTCTTGGGTTTTCTGAAATTTAGCTAAGTTGATGTGTATCAACTACTAAGCATACTGCCTGATATTAGTAGATGCTCATTGAAGGTTATCTTTATCTATATTTTTTTTCTGCAAATAGAATCTTGAGACTACTATCTTCCGGAAATCCTAAAGCCCAGTTATTCCATTTTCAAATCTCTATTGATATTTATGATTATTACTGTACAGAGAACAGAGAACCAGGAAAGGTTGGTTAAAGATTTCTATCTGGGGTTGGGAATGTAACTCAGTGGTAGAGGGCTTGTCTAGCATGCACAGGCCTGGGTTCAATCCCTAGTACTGCTAAAAATAAAATAAATAAAAATTCTCTCTGTACTTTTTACTCAGTATTTTAGAGCACATGGCTATATGATAAAATATATGTTGATACTATATACCTGTATCTATAGATACTTTTCATATATGTATACAGTATACATATAATATATATTTTGGATTTAAAAGCTCCTGTTTTTACATTTTCTAAACTTTTCAGAAGAATAAGCTCCTAAACTAAAATTACAGAAAACCCAATGAACATTTTAATGTTGTGGTGGTACATTATTTTTCAAATTCATCAGCCAAGAAGATTATCTTCTCATTTCTTGCTGAGATTCCTCCTGCTCTGTAAATTTTCAGTCACTGAGAACATTGGTTTGATAACATCACTTTGTATCCTTTACTAGGGCGTGGGCTGCGAGCTGGCTTAAATGGAAGTTGGGCTGAGGGTTGTTTGGGGGAGGAGGGTTGGCAGGTGGCACTTTCTGAATATTTGCTTTCCTTCCCTGGCAGATTCCAGCACTGTTGGGTCAGTTGTAGCAGAGTGTTCTTTGGCTGAGTTAAAAGATGGGGTGGGGCCCTAGAAGCTCAAACCTGTTATTCAAAGAGCAGTTGCTGGAGAAAAGAAAATATGTGCTTCTTGCACAGTTAATAGTTCAATGTGAAGCAGGAAAGAACATAAAGCTGGGTCTCAAACAGGTTATGTCCACTCATGTTTTCCTATTCTTTATATAATCTTGTTTTCCTTTGGAGTAAATTTGGGCTTTGGGATTATTCCTTAGTAAAATGCAGAGAGAGAGAAGATAAGGCTTATTTTCCTTTGTACATGTCAGGATAAAAGGGTGAATCTTCTTTCCACTCCTAAAAAACTGTCATCCTTGTGTTTATAAAAACTGGAACTTTGGGGCAATGGATGACCACACAAAACGAACAGTTGACTCCATTCTTACTGAAATACAAGACACCATTTCCATCATTTCATGCTTAAAGTATGGGATTCTGTAATCATCTATCAGCCTAGACAGAAGAAGAGACTTGACCAGTGGCACATGTTGTTAGTGACAACATGACACCAGTCAGAAGCCTGATTCCATAATGTAACTATGTCCAGAATTTTAGGCAAAATAGTCAGAAAAATTCTTTTTCCATTCTGACCTAGAGGAAGGGAGTAGAGGTGTGTTTGTGTGAGTACTAGTAGTAGTAGCAGTAGTGGAGAAAGTAAGTGTGAGAATCAAATCTCATAGCCTAGTAGGTAAGAATGTTTTTAGGTGAAAGAGCACAATCCTGTTTTCCACTAGTGCTCAGCAATGAGAGACATTTGGCCTCCAGGGAATTATCTAGTTATAACCCAGAGAAGGGTGTTCCCCCAGTGTCATGGATCTCAGTAAATACTGGATGGCTGTTTGAGTTCATTCAGACACATTTTGCATTTAAATTAATTCAGTCCATGCAGAGTTGAGCACCAAATAGTTGCTTTCAGATAATTGTTAACAAAGTGGTTATTTAGAGAAGAAATAATAGTATAATTTACAGCATAAAAATGTTTAAGCAGTGCTAGAATAGATAAATGCTAGCTAATAAGTCAAAATTGTAAGTTGATATAGAATAAAGAGAAAACTTACAGAAATACCAGACTGTGAATACCTGGAGGGCAGAGTCAGTGTCTTTTATTTTTCTAACTCTAGTGCCTTTGACTAACCAGGATGCTAATAGCACGATTTTGTCCATTGAAAAGAAAAAACAAACAAACACAAACCAGCATGCATTTCTTAAATGTAGAAGTCACATCAGAGTACAGTTCTCTAAGGACTCACCCACTAGGATGGGGCACACTTCTCAAGATGTTAATAAATTCTGTTTGGTTTGATGCTAACATTTGGATACTTTCATCATGCAAGCTGAAAATCCTGGGGCTTCTAGTGGTAATGTATATTGCAAAATGTTTACAAGCCTTGAGCAATTTAAGCTTTGAGATTCTTGTGAAATGTGCATTCTATTTAACCTGCAACACGTGGTTTTCTGAAGCATGCCTGTCACCTTTGCCTATGACAGGCTTACAGGTCTGTTGAGAAGCACAAAATTAGTTAGAATCCTGTGTGTTTTTAGTTTTATATCTTTACCGTGTGGTTGCAGTCACTGCTTTCCTTCCCCTTTTTTTTTGTGGGGGAGGGTAGTTGTCTTTTAAGAGTTGGAATGTGGCTGAGTTTGACACGGTTAGATATGGGAGATGTTTTTTTCAGGACTGATTATCCTAGTGGCAGATTGTGCTGTCCTTTAGCTTCTGCCTCCAGAATTCCAAGACCTCGAAAGCTAAGCCAGGCCTTCCAAGCTACTTGCTAGCTGGAAACGGGGTTAGTAAGTGCCTATTGTTCTCAGAATCCTGCAAGATGCACCTCCCCCAGACCTGAAATTTCCTCTGTTCCTTGCTCTGCCCCTACAGTTTACAGTGATTTCCCAGCAATGCCTGGAAAATATCCATTGACTAGGAATACTGCAAACCTTCCCCTGCTCCAAGTCCTGTGCAAACTACTGAAAGCTACTGAAAGAAGTAGGCTTCAGTCCACAGAACTGTTATATTTAGCCTGTCTTGCTGTTTACTCTGGCCCTAAAAACAACCCAAATCCCAAAACCTAACCAAAACAAAAAAACAAATTAAAAAAATGCACCCCTTCCCTTTGTTAGGCAGTGTGGTAGAGAGGAGAGGAGGAGGCTTTGAAAATGTTAACTCCTTTGAAAGCAGTTACTTTACACCTTCTCGTAGGGGTGTCCTGAGCCTATTAACTAATGACTCAATTAATTTTCCATGTTGGAATTTGGGAGCCAGCCTCAGTTTCAAATATTCTGACTTCATCCGAATTTTATGTTCCTTTTAGCCAGCCGAAAGCCTTATGGCTTTCATAAGTGGACAATTTGCCAGGTGAAGTAGTGGGAAGGACTCAAGGGCCCTGCTCTAGGTCTTCTTTTGCCATTTTCTGCCTTCTCTTTTCCTGTGGCTCCTAGTACCCTTCCCTCTCTTGTTGATGTCCTTGTTTTTCATTGTGGACTCTAACTTCTGTTGGTAGACTACACGACAGGGGAGCTGAGAAGGATGAAGTCCAGCACTGTGCTGGGCCCTGTACGTGCTACCTTGCTTGATCCTCTCAGCGGATGTGACCATTGTGTATTATGGTCCCCATTTGACAGTCAAGAAATAAGCATCCATATCCTCAATCATAAAAGTAGTACATGAAGAAGCTGAGGTCTGAATCATGTATTATTTCCTTGAAGTAAATAAACTTCTAGTTGCAATTTTACTTTTCTACAGTTTTATCATCTATTCACTCACACATCTATTTAGACAGTTATTGGCTGTCATTTCCTTTTGTTGAGGCTGTATTTTTAGGTAAGTGATGAAGGTAAGTATTAGTGATGCAGTAGTCTCCCTTCTTTTTTGTTTTCACTTTCTGTGGTTTCAGTTACCTGCTGTCAATCTTGGTCTGAAACTATTTAATGGAAAATTCCAGAAATACTTCATAAGTTTTAAATTGCATGCCTTTCTGAGCACTGTGATGAAATCTCCTGCCATCTTACTTAGTCTCACAAAGGACTTCAGTCATCACTTTGTCCGGCGTATACACACTGTA